GATAAACTTTGTTCTATTCTACACTTTCTAGCCGTGGTGACACTCTGCTTTAACGTGCTGTGCATTATCGCCACTGGCTCCATTTTCCTAGACGAGTGGAATAATTGATGGGAAACCCCACATTTACCGACTGGAGGGAATGTCACTGACTCTATATACTTTTCGAACCTAAATTAGACTATGCCTATTTAAAGGCTTTTCTGAAAATGTCTTCGGCACCCCAGGAAATAGAAGTGAATTATTGCCATGACTACACTCGTCACTCATTCCCAGTCCCCAGATCATTACTTCCTGCTCAAGCCACATTTAGAAGCTTCCACAGATCATTTTCCACTGTTTCAGATGGATTGGGTATTTGTGGGCTGTCACCCTAGCCTTGGAAAAGCTAACTAAAGATAACTGGACGGAATTTAAGGAGGAAACCTACAAAACAACATTATTAGTGATGGACAGAAAAAGAAACGTTAAGATAATATAACTGGAAAAAGGAAAAAACATGGTAAAAGTGCCTTGAAACCTAGTAGTATAACATACGGAATGTTTTATGGTTAGTAAATTGAACATTTTCTCATAACCATCAAAGATAGAAGAGGCAAGAAAGCTCTATGTTACAGCTGAATGAGTTGATGGAGATATTGCATAGATTTTATGTTCTAGAATGCTAATTATAGGTGTGTGTTTAAGTCCTTTTATGCAGTACTGGCTCTGGGTAAAGTAGCAGGATCACATTATCAAATATTTAACAGTTGACTTAGAATAAGTTCCATTGCATGAAACCAGATGTCCCCAATAAAACTGAAAAGGCCATCTAATTAATCTCTGGAGGAAAATGTACGTCTCAGAATGTGTATTTCAGAAGAAGATATCTACTTGAAAGCAAGACTCATCTAAGGATATACTGGGTAGTATCCCAATAATCCACAAGTAGACTTGAAATGAAAATTAACCTTCAGGAAGAAATAATGTGAATTGAAATTGCCTGAAATTTCAATCTGCTCTAAATAGCACAGTAGAGAACTCAGGTACAATAAAGCTCTTTAATAGAGGTCAGGGAGAGTGTGAAATGTAAATGAATCCTTCCTCTAAGCTGTTGCCAGAACTGTGTTCCTAAAAATGAAATGAAATGTCAGCTGAAAATCCCTGTGCCTACAGGATAAAGGCTGACATCCATAGCATGGCATGCAAAGCCTCTCAGACAGCATCCAGCCTCACAGGTGGTCCTTCCGTGCCCTGCCCCCTTTCCTCACACACCCTGAGCATGTGCCTGGTACAGCTCTAAGCACTCGATGTAAAACACAGTCTCTCATTTAATTGTCACCATGACCCTGCGAAATGGTTAGTAGTCTCCTTCGCATTTTAGGAATGAGGAAACCAAAGCCCAGAGTGACTGAGCAGCTTGCCAAAAATACCCTGCTCATAAAGAGCAGAAGGACCTTGATAGTCCCAAACGCAGGATGATGCCCTTCCTGGTTTGCATGCCTTGCTCATGCATTCTTTTTGCCTGGAATTCCCTTCTCACTACCTTTTCCCCCTTCACACACTCTTTCTGGTAAATGTGTACTATCCTTGAAAGACTCAGATAAAACATCATTGAC